CAGCTCCAGGCACAATATTGGTAAATCATGTAATGAAAGTTTGCTAATCCCAGTTTGTAGTTCCGATGTTATAAAATGCACAGTTCAATAATGATTGCTGTTACAATGTTTCCTATTGAATAAATGAATGAAGTAATTAAAAGTACACTCTAGTCAAATTGAAAATTAAGACTGGAGTTGTCTACAGGGAGTGCAAAATATCTGCTCAATACTTCAGTTTTACTTCCAAGCATTGCTGCGTTATACCAGTCTTTACTGCTGGCAATCTGCTGATCTGAGAACACCTGTTTACTATGCAGAGTAGACCAACATGACATCTAACTATACACTATATCTAGTACAGAATCAAAAAAGTGAGTCTGTATGTAGAATGCTTTGCTACAAAATAATGTTTCATCGGAGTCAAAGACACTGCTTGGGTGAAAAGTGGTGACCTTGCTTTTACATCATTATTATACCTACAGTAGCTCGCTGAAGTTCAGTGAAAGTTTGGAGGTATTTCACAAAAGTTAAATGAAAAGTTTACAGTTCAAACAGCTATACCAGTCATGTTCCAGCAGTTGACTTGAGAAGAGATGTTTTTAATGCGACCCTGTTGACAGTCCATTTATTTAGACAATTTTCCCATAAAAGTACATTCGCCAATTTATTAGGTACATCTTGCTAGGTGTCAAGAAAATATCCCCCACACCATTACACCACCACCACCAGCCTGAACCATTGATACAAGGCAAGATGGATCCATGCTTTCATGTGGTTTATGGCAAATTCTGACCTTACCATCTGAATGTTGTAGTTAGAGATGAGCGAATCGAACTTGGCGAAGTGGAATTCATTTCGAATTTTAGAAAAAATTAGCAGACTTCGGATGCGCGAATCGAAATTTTCCAAAAATGGCGGCGACATGTGTGGCGACGGAGCGGGAATCTCTGGGAAGGCGCGCAGACAAGGCGCGCTGACCCATAATGCATTCATTCATGACATGTGATCGCATTAGCCAATCAGCAGCCAGCCAGCACTGTGTAATGGTCGACCTATAAATTGCGGCCATCTTAGAATTCTCCATTAGCCTCCGGTCATTCAAGAGAGACAGACCTCTCTGTATTAGGGCCAAAGAGACTTTAGGGCCACAGAATCGTTACTTAGGGACACAGAATTGTTACTCAGGACACAGAATTCTTACTCAGGGACACAGAACTGTTACTCAGGGACACAGAATTGTTACTCAGGGACAGACACAGAATTGTTACTGAGGGACACAGAATTGTTACTGAGGGACACAGAATTGTTACTCAGGGACAGACACAGAATTGTTACTGAGGGACACAGAATTGTTACTGAGGGACACAGAATTGATACTGAGGGACACAGAATTGTTACTCAGGGACACAGAATTGTTACTCAGGGACACAGAACTGTTACTCAGGGACACAGAATTGTTACTCAGGGACACAGAACTGTTACTCAGGGACACAGAATTGTTACTCAGGGACAGACACAGAATTGTTACTGAGGGACACAGAATTGTTACTGAGGGACACAGAATTGTTACTCAGGGACAGACACAGAATTGTTACTGAGGGACACAGAATTGTTACTGAGGGACACAGAATTGTTACTGAGGGACACAGAATTGTTACTCAGGGACAGACACAGAATTGTTACTGAGGGACACAGAATTGTTACTGAGGGACACAGAATTGTTACTGAGGGACACAGAATTGTTACTCAGGGACACAGAATTGTTACTTAGGGACACAAAACTGTTACTCATGGACACAGAATTGTTACTCAGGGACAGACACAGAATTGTTACTGAGGGACACAGAATTGTTACTGAGGGACACAGAATTGTTACTCAGGGACAGACACAGAATTGTTACTGAGGGACACAGAATTGTTACTGAGGGACACAGAATTGTTACTGAGGGACACAGAATTGTTACTCAGGGACACAGAACTGTTACTCAGGGACACAGAATTTTTACTCAGGGACACAGAACTGTTACTCAGGGAAACAGAATTGTTACTCAGGGACAGACACAGAATTGTTACTGAGGGACACAGAAATGTTACTGAGGGACACAGAATTGTTACTGAGGGACACAGAATTGTTACTCAGGGACACAGAATTGTTACTGAGGGACACAGAATTGTTACTGAGGGACACAGAATTGTTACTCAGGGACACAGAATTGTTACTCAGGGAAACAGAACTGTTACTCAGGGACACAGAATTGTTACTGAGGGACACATAATTGTTACTCAGGGACAAAGAATTGTTACTCAGGGACAGACACAGAATTGTTACTGAGGGACACAGAATTCTTACTGAGGGACACAGAATTCTTACTCAGGGACAGACACAGAATTGTTACTGAGGGACACAGAATTGTTCCTGAGGGACACAGAATTGTTACTGAGGGACACAGAATTGTTACTGAGGGACACAGAATTGTTACTCAGGGACACAGAATTGTTACTCAGGGACACAGAACTGTTACTCAGGGACACAGAACTGTTACTCAGGGACACAGAATTGTTACTGAGGGACACAGAATTGTTACTCAGGGACACAGAATTGTTACTGAGGGACACAGAACTGTTACTCAGGGAAACAGAATTGTTACTCAGGGACACAAAATTGTTACTCAGGGACAGAAACAGAATTGTTACTGAGGGACACAGAATTGTTACTGAGGGACACAGAATTGTTACTGAGGGACACAGAATTGTTACTCAGGGACAGACACAGAATTGTTACTGAGGGACACAGAATTGTTACTCAGGGACACAGAATTGTTACTCAGGGACACAGAATTGTTACTCAGGGACACAGAACTGTTACTCAGGGACACAGAATGGTTACTCAGGACACAGAACTGTTACTCAGGGACACAGAATTGTTACTCAGGGACAGACACAGAATTGTTACTGAGGGACACAGAATTGTTACCGAGGGACACAGAATTGTTACTGAGGGACACAGAATTGTTACTCAGGGACACAGAATTGTTACTCAGGGACACAGAACTGTTACTCAGGGACACAGAATTGTTACTCAGGGACACAGAACTGTTACTCAGGGACACAGAATTGTTACTCAGGGACAGACACAGAATTGTTACTGAGGGACACAGAATTGTTACTGAGGGACACAGAATTGTTACTCAGGGACAGACACAGAATTGTTACTGAGGGACACAGAATTGTTACTGAGGGACACAGAATTGTTACTCAGGGACACAGAATTGTTACTCAGGGACACAGAATTGTTACTCAGGGACACAGAACTGTTACTCAGGGACACAGAACTGTTACTCAGGGACACAGAATTGTTACTCAGGGACAGACACAGAATTGTTACTGAGGGACACAGAATTGTTACTGAGGGACACAGAATTGTTACTGAGGGACACAGAATTGTTACTCAGGGACACAGAACTGTTACTCAGGGACACAGAATTGTTACTCAGGGACACGGAACTGTTACTCAGGGACACAGAATTGTTACTCAGGGACAGACACAGAATTGTTACTGAGGGACACAGAATTGTTACTGAGGGACACAGAATTGTTACTGAGGGACACAGAATTGTTACTCAGGGACAGACACAGAATTGTTACTGAGGGACACAGAATTGTTACTGAGGGACACAGAATTGTTACTCAGGGACAGACACAGAATTGTTACTCAGGGACACAGAATCGTTACTCAGGGACACAGAATCGTTGAATTAAAGAGTATGTCAGACAACACGCAGAGGAGTGGCAGAGGAGGCAATGTTTCAGGAGCGAGCAGACGTGGCAGCAGAGGAAGGGGTCGAGGCAGCACTAGTCGCAGCCAGAGGCCAGTGCTCCCGGTGTCATCCAGCGGTCGTGTCTCCACCGACAACCCTGCCGTCATCGATTGGTTGGCTCGGTCGTCTTCCTCTTCCCAGGTCACCTCTGACACCTACAGCCAACGGTCGGTGGGTACGTCAGACACAACCGTTAGTTGGCATGGCCCGGGAGCAAGCCCACTGAAATCACATGTCCTCTACCTGCCCCTGTCCTTTGGTGTTCCCTCACCAAGCGAAGTATCGCATGCTGTGGGCTCAGCCCCACTGTACAGTGAGGAAGAGCTAACAGAGGGCGGTCAGGAACGGGGGAGACATCCGCCTCTTCAGCAGCCAGGCGAAGAAGTACTGGCGAGGAGAGTGGCTCGGTAGCCGGTCTAGAGACAGGTCTGTCTCCTGACCCACACGCAGCCGAGGGGGCTAGTAGTGAGGCGGAGACCCTAATTGATGATGATGAGGCTGATCGCACTTGGCAGCCTCGTCGTCATCAGGCCATTGCTTCCGCATCATTAGGAGAAGAGGGTGCCAGCTTGGCAGCGAGCAAAACAGTCGGTGGGTTGCCCAGGAGGCAGCAGGGGTCCTGGGGGCCCATGTCTCCATTCGCCACACTCTGCCATGTGCCACTTTCAGGTCTCCTCACACTGCTGGTGGGTTCCATTTTGTCATAGGGTGCTGGCAGATTACGGGCCTCCCATTGCTGCTGCCAGGCCCTAATCTGTCATGGGCCCCTGTACCGCCTCCTCATCTGCTGCCAGGTCCAGAGTGGTCTGTCATGGGTCCCTGTACGGCTCCCATTGCTGCTGTCTCCATCGCCACATACTCTGCCATGTGCCACTTTCAGGTCTCCTCACACTGCTGGTGGGTTCCTTTTTGTCATAGGGTGCTGGCAGATTACGGGCCTCCCATTGCTGCTGCCAGGCCGTAATCTGCCAGGGCCCCCGTACCGCCTCCTCATGCTGCTGCCAGGTCCCGTAATCTGTCATGGGTCCCTGTACGGCCTCCCATTGCTGCTGTCTCCATCGCCACACTCTGCCATGTGCCACTTTCAGGTCTCCTCACACTGCTGGTGGGTTCCATTTTGTCATAGGGTGCTGGCAGATTACGGGCCTCCATTGCTGCTGCCAGGCCCGTAATCTTGCCATGGGCCCCTGTACCGCCTCCTCATGCTGCTGCCAGGTCCAGAGTGTCTCATGGGTCCCTGTACGGCCTCCCATTGCTGCTGTCTCCATCGCCACACTCTGCCATGTGCCACTTTCAGGTCTCCTCACACTGCTGGTGGGTTCCATTTTGTCATAGGGTGCTGGCGGGATTACGGGCCTCCCATTGCTGCTGCCAGGCCCGTAATCTGCCATGGGCCCCCGTTACCGCCTCCTCATGCTGCTGCCAGCGTCCAGTAGAGTGTCTCATGGGTCCCTGAGTACTGGCCTCCCCATTGCTGCTGTCTCCATCGCCACACTGGTGCCAGTTGTGCCACGTTTCAGGTTCCTCAACACTGCTGGTGGTGTTCCATTTGTCTCATAGGTGCTGGCAGATTACGGGCCTCCCATTGCTGACTGGCGCCAGGCCCGTAATTGCCATGAGGCCCACGTTTTTTTACCGCTACTCCTCATGCTGTGCCAGGTCCAAGTAGTGTCTCATGGGTCCCCTGTACGGCCTCCCATTGCTGCTGTACTCCATCGCCAAAACTCTGCCATGTGCCCACTTTCAGGTCTCCTCACACTGCTGGTGGGTTCCATTTTGTCATAGGGTGCTGGCAGATTACGGGCCTCCCATTGCTGCTGCCGGGCCCGTAATC